AACATACTTTGCGCCTACCGTACCACGGAAAGGACTGCCACGGGAGAAACTCCCTTTAACCTTACATACGGCACTGAAGCAGTCATCCCAGCTGAGATTGAAGTCCCCTCATTGAGACTAGAAGCATATGAAAATAGAGCAAACGGAGACGAGCTACGCACCAACCTTGACCTGCTAGACAAAGTACGGGACCTCACGTACATCAGGACCGCGGCCTACAAACAAAAGATAGCTCGGTACTATAACGCCAAGGTCAGAAAGCGAACTCTCCGCGTTGGCGACCTGGTTCTCTGCAAGGTTATGGTGCCTGAGCCCGGCGTTGGAAAGCTCGATCCAAATTGGGAAGGACCCTACCGAGTAAAGTGAGTACTCGGGGAAGGAACATACGAACTCGAAACCCTGGAAGGGAAACAAGTACCTCGGGCGTGGAATATCGTCAACCTAAGACTATATTACCCATGAACCACTGAACTGAGGGAACCATGAGTCACTCCCTTCTAGCCTTAGGGCCAATTTGCCAAACAAGCGACAACCTCGGCAAACACGAGGTCCAGCCACCCCCTCAACAGGGGTAGACTCCAAGAAAACAGTTTAGTGTGACCACGAGTCACTCCCTCCAGCCTAAGGGTCAACGCGCTGGGTTAACTGAAGACCTTGGCGCTATGCATGACTCTACCGCCTCGCCAGCATAGGCTTAGCATGCCAAAGACCAAAGGCGTCTCAAGAACAGACCTTCTGACTCCTAGCCTACCTCGGTATATGCTGCTAGAGGTAAATGCCAACCTAAATAGCCAAGCAGGCAGGTCGGGCACGCGCCTTACTATGCCTACCTTGGAGTACGAGGCTAAAACCTGATGATCACCCCTACTAAGTGCAGGAAGATAGTTCGGGGTGACGGCGGTAAAGGGTCGCTCACCTCAAGGACTGAATTTACTAACTCAATAGCTCAGATAAGGCCAACACCCCGGCAGAAGCGAATCACACAAACACTTAACAGAATATATATACACTCTCACTACATAAATGTGATTTCATTACAAAACCCCAAGTACAAAGAAACAAGAAAAGGAGAATACAAGGAGCACACAACTATTTAGAAGGTTTATCAGCCTTACTCGGGGCCTCCTCGGGAGTGTCAGCCAGGTCGGTAGTATCGACCTTCTCATCGCCGCCCTCATTGTCGGAATCTGGGTCATCCGCGGCCTGACGGGCCATGTCGTCTGTAATATTATAGGTGGTGAAGGCACTTATGTCAAGGTCAGGGTATGCACGCCTTATCCACCACCTGCCGAGCTTGAACCCCCTACGATAGGCCTTCGACATTATGTTGTCAAACCTAAATGACTTGACATAGTCGACAATGGCCTGGGCCTTCGCGTCCCCGAGAGCTTCGTTGAAGATCTCGGTCATCTCCTTAATGTCGGCTTTGAGGTACTCCACCTCGTGCTCCAAGGCCCCCCCTTGGCTTCCTTATGCCCCTGCACCTCAAGCTGTGAAGCCCTCTAACACGCCTTGAGACTCTCCACCTCGAGCTTCAAGGCTTCTTGACCCGCTTTGAGTCCGTTCACCTCGGCCTTCAGCCTATCCCTTTCGCGGGCCAACTCCTCCTTCTCCAATAGCAGGGCCTCGGTAAAGCTCTTCTAGGCGGTAGCGTCACTCTCCAGCTGGTGGATCTTGCCCTGAGCTGTCCTCAGCTCATTGTAAGCCGCGCGAGATGACTCCTCAACAGCCAATGCATGCCTCAGGTGTTTGTCAGACTGGAAGGTCAGCGCGTGCACGACAGTGTTCACCTGGCAAGAAGGTGTTGGTCAGTACCGAAGAAAGAAGAAAGAAAGGAGGAAGAGGTGGCTCTTAGGGTGTGAACTCACCACCATGGCATGGGTTGCAGCGCGGGCACCGAGCTGACCAGGGGAGAGTTCGACCCAATCTACGACCTCCGCCGTGATAACCGCTCTCTTACTTCTGTCAAGGCCGATATCGGGATTCATGATGCTCTCTTCCTCCTCCTGGGTCCCCGAGCTGGATGTCGTCGTGTCTGCGACACGATGAGCCAACCCTTCAGAAGCTTTAGCAGCAGTCCCAATAGGGTTTGGGACTTCAGCGGCAGCCCCGGCTGGCTTGGCGATTAACTTTACCGCTATTTTAGGCCCCCGTGGTGGTGAGTCCCCCTCCAAGTCTACCATTGGAGGGGCATTGGAGGGCTCGGGCCCTGAAATGGGAGCCTGTGGGAGCTCGGGCCTCAAAGAGGGGGCCTGCGGAAGATCGGGTTCAGGGGTGGGGGTCCCTGGGGATTCCACGCGCACCTTCTTGGCAGCTTGCTTCTTCCTCTTCTTCATCTAACGGAGGAGCCTCGGACCGGCAATCCTCTCTTCCTCCATGGGACCTGCAACAGAGCTCGGCGTCAGTAAGTTCAAAGATGCTGGGCTGATTAAGCAAAACACTAAAGCGGAAATCGACCTACCCGAGCTCAAACCAGCCTGAACGAGCTTCCCTTCAGCAATGTAGTCCCTGTGACCAAACCCGGCCTGAGCCCACGAATGAAAGGTTTCCCACGTCTTCTGGTTAAGAGCAACGCTGGGAGCTTGAGTGGTCACCCTCCAGTTGGTAAGGAATGGCCACCCCATGCTTCTTCAGACTACAAAGTAGTCCCGCTTCCAGGCCGAGACCTTGCTTGAGAACTTGTATAGCATTTTGAAACCCGGGTGAGGAGACAAGTAATAGGTCTGCCCATGCTCGGGGGGAGCACCAGAGGCACTCTTTTTTATTAACAAGATGGAACAAAGGATGTCCGCGTCTAAAAGGAAGTTATGTTCGGAACAGAGTGAGATGGTCCCCACCAAGTTCCGAATAGAGTTGGGGTGGAGTTGGTCCAGCGTGATGCTGAAGCACCTCAACACCTCAGGAATAAGGTGATGGAGAGGAAGATGAAGCCCACCGACAAGTTGTTCCCTAAAGATCACGATCTCATCTGGACCGTGCTCCCAAGGGAACTTGCCGGTGGGAAGACTATACAAGTACTCTGGAGAAAGGTAAAATTGCTGGATGAGGTGCTAAAGCCCCTCCTGCGTCATAACAGATGGACCGAACTGGTCCGGCGCCCGACCTCGACGAGAGGTAGACGCTAGTTTGCCTGAGGTCACCTGAGCCTCGTAGGAAGGACGGGCGACGATAGGGTCACCATGACCCGAGGTACCCACCTCGGGTTCGTCTAAAAGACTATCCCCACTAGACATGAAAGGGAATGAATTGGAAAAAAAGGGAGAAAGGAGAGCTCGGGGACTCACCGGGATAAAAGACGCGACCGGACTAGAAGACCCGAGCTGAAGACTCCAGACGCGAGCTCACGGTGAACGAAAGGTACTTAGTGGCGAAAAAAATGGCCAGGGTCCCCGTTATTTATAGCCGAGGGGCCCGGACGCCAATGACCAGGATCAAGGCAATCCGACGGTCCTCAAGAAAACCGGCTACGAGACTCTCAAGGCGAAATCAGTTTAGCGCACTTTTTGGCATTGGCGAAGTCCAGATCACGTGACGTCTGCACGTAAGCCGTATGCGACCCAGGTTTTCTTTCCGAACGAATCAAACGCCAGACCGGCCCGGCCAACGAGTCACCCGATAGGGTGGCATGAGTACCGAGCCAAATCCACCCAACGCGACATGAACTCCCCGCGTTGGGTCACCACCCCCGGCACGGGGAGTGGGGGGCAATTGATGTAGGGTGATTTGGCCCGACCTCGTAGCCCGGGGACATGTGTATATGACCTGGCCCAGTGTACAGCTCAGCCTGACAACACGACCGCAACTCGACGGGAGAGACACGCCGAGTCCAACGCTGGCCACTCGGCGAGTTAAGCAACTCGCCGGGGACTGACGCCTGGCCAATTGTGACTTCCACCGAGTGTGGAAGGTCCCGAGCTCCCCCTAAGGGGCCCGGAGCTCTCCCTTCCCAAAAAGGGAGCACCCTAGCTCGTGGTTAAGTGTCTTGAGCACCTTGGGACAGCATCGTCCTCCCTCCCCCCAGTGCAGGCACCTCGGCACCTCGGTACAGAGACAGACCTGCCCCAGACAGTCCAGTGCGCGGTAGCTTGGTATGCTGTGGGGAGCCCTGTTTGACATCCGTACCCACCGAACCCAGTAGCAGGGCTCTGATCCCTCGCCAGACGGCGTTCCGCCTACCAGGCGGCATTCTGTTTGCCTCCTCTAGAAGGCAGGGCACGTTTGTCAAGTCCGTACCTGGCAATGGCAGTTTGTGGTGGCCACCTGAGCCTACGACACCTGCCCTGGCAGTAACGGCAAGGGCGATGGCGGTTATGCCAGGTGTGACCAGACTCCATTGTAAAAGAACCCGAACCCACACAGAGAAAAGGTATTGAAGCTAAAGCACTTTGAGCACTCTTACTCTCTACTCTCTTTGAGATTTCCTCCAGTTCTAACTTAGCCATCGGAGTGTCCCCACCGGGATAACTCCCCGGGAACCCTTCGCTTTTCCTTCCTCTTAGGTGTCGTTTGTTCCAGTCAGAAGACAGGCCACAACCAGCTAGGAGTGCCCAAATCGTACAGCATCAACATGTTTGAGATCACCGACTTGTCTAATCCAGAGGTGATTACACGCCCTGAAGTGAATTCCGCGTAATAAAACATATAAATATGGAGATATTCCCAATGCAAGATGTAAAGGGTGTTTGTGTTTGAACGGACGTTACACTGACCGAAGCTGAACTCAAATTTCTATTAATTAAGTAGAATATTCAATTGTCTGATCCCCAATTCGCATGTATATATTTGGTTAAGAGAAGAGAAAGATGGCATAATTTCTCTATTTCACTAGTCCTACAACACTCCTCTTTCTTTTCTTTTCAGTTTTTCTTCTCTTCTAGATATATAGCACAGAATGTTCAAGTTTCTATTATCAATTTATCATCAGAAAGATTGAAATTTTGATAATCATTACTTAGAATTTTTTTTGATAAATAATTACTTAGACTTAATTAAAAGCTTACTATCATTAGTTAATATTAAAATATCTAATCAACTCATTAATTTATCATAGACCCTTATGTAGACACAACACCTAATTATGAAAACATCTCTCTTTTACTCTCACGGGGAGACCTCCTTTCATCCTTATTGTCAACGAAAGTAGCAGTTCTGGACACTTCAGCCCGTCAACCACATCGATATGGAACCTCTCTACCACGGACGCTGCAATTGATTTCATCTGTATATACGCCATATCTTTCCCCAGACACATCCTCGGCCCCGCATGGAACGCCGAAAACCGGAAAGGACTCTCCTGCCGGCAACTTCCATTCTCCAACCACCGTTCAGGCCTGAATTCTCTGCAATCCTTTCCCCATATACACTCCATCCTACCCATGGCATATGCGTGGTATGTCACAACCCATCCTTTACGCACTGACGTACCATCCGGCAAGACATCATCTTTCAGACACACCTTCGTGTCCATTGCAACCGGAGGGTACAGTCTCAGTGCTTCGGAGATTGCAGCTTGTAGGTAGTGCATTTCTCGGAGCTCCTCAAAGCTATACGCATCGCCAATCTCCTTCCTGGTACGAGTTCGAATTGATTTTAGCTCGTCTAGTATGTTATGTTCGATGTCTGGTCTCGACGACAGCAACCAGAAGAACCAGGCCAGCGTCGACGACGTCGTGTCCCGTCCCGCAAGTATGAAGCTTATGACGATGTCACGAAGGAACTCTGGTGAATTCAAGTCGTCTGCAACGAATCGCGACAGTAGATCCTCGGTGCTTTGCTTCCCTCCTTCCTCTTCCATTCTTGACCTTATGATGTTATCGGAAAAATCATGAACCATCCTAATGGCTTCTCTTAATCTTCTCTCTGATCCTATGTTGAGCGCCTTCTTGGTCTTCCACCACAAGGGATGGACGTCGAAGAACCGGGCGACGCTCAATAGTGATGCATCGTCGAATGCCTTCATGAACTCAGCCCCAGCTGTTCCGTCACCGCCAAGACAACCTGGGTCGACGTTGAATGCTAGCTTACAGATGTTATCAAAAGCAAAACGCTCTAGAATATCTTGCATGTCGACCACTTGGTTTAACTCACTGGTTTTCCTCAGCAGGGGAACCAACCTGGTCTGAATCTCCTCCTTCACGTTCGTAATTGCAAAGCTCCGAAGCGACTTTGTGTTGAATTCGAAGCTCGCAATCTTGCGCTGAACCTTCCAAATATTACCATCTGCGTTGAAGATGCCTCGGCCGAGGAAGTCTTTTAAGGTGTGAAAGTGAGACGGGCCTTTTGGGTAGTTGTCAAAGTTGTTCCTGAGAATGTGTTCGACGTTTAATGGGTTTGCCGTGAGGATGCCATGCATCCCAGGGCGGCAGTATGCAGTAGTGTTATTGGGGCTCCAGCAGAGGATATCGGAGGTCCAGTCAAAAAACCGGTGACGGTTTCTCAAGAAGTCTGGACCTATTCCAAGGAGAGGGTAGGATTTGAATGCGAGATGGGAGTTGGGTTTTCTCTTTGATGGATAGCAGCAGGCAGAAACAGAAAGACACAGAGAGAGGAGGGAGAAGAGAAGGAGCAGTAGAAACAAGAGATCCATGTCTTAACTGGCGAATAGTTTTAGGGTGGAGAGAGGACACATATATACAGTGAGGTGAAGCCACTGAAGCAGAAGATGTGAGCTCGTTATTAATTATTCATTGTTTAGAGACCACGTGCTTGCTTTGTTGCCTTATACCTCCTCATTCATCAACTACTTAATAAAAATTTTGTCTCAGAAGCAAATTAAGAAAGAGAAGACGGAGAAGGTAAAAAGAAGTCTTTGTTGAGATGTTGTTGGCTCAAGGAGGGGGGATCACGAAGTACATGAATTGGTTGTTGAAAAGGTGAGTGAACCAGGTTGGCCTTGATTTCAGAGTTCAGAGTTCAGACCCAAATGAAGAAGGCTGGATAGTGGGCATTAATGGCTAAAATCACGAGTGAGAAACTAGCAGCATTTTCCACTGTCCATCAGGACTTCTGATCTTGAGAGCCACAAAGTTAGAGTAGATATTTTTATTTTACAAGGACTACGTTTAAGGGCCCTTTGACAATGGCTGAAGTGGAATTGAATGACTTATTTTAATATAGATATTTTAATATTTAATTATTTAGTTCACAAAAAAGAAAAGCGATAGTAATAGTCATTTAGTTCAACTACTTCAGCCATTACAAAACCGCTTATTCAATTTGTAGCTTTAATTATTTGGTTCCTATCATGGTCGTATGCACTTTGGCTTTTTTTAGGGATAATAGACTGCACTCCCACTTGTGTAGTGGGGGTAAGATTTGTTGGGGTGGACTGAACAACAAAAACTTTTTTTTTTGCAAGTGTTTTTATAGCTTTGATGTAGGATGCTTGAAATGTTTAACGCATCATCCGGAGGTCAAGATTTTATCCCTAACCAAAGGTTGACTTGGTCAAAACCCATTTGAGACGGGTGTTAACCCATTGAACCATTTGAATTGTCCACTGGTTGATGTTTCAAGCATTCCAATGGCAATTTTTCTCGTAGAATTGGGGCCTCACCCCGCCCCAACCGATCTGAATGGGGCAGGTTTTCCCGATCGTAAATGGGGATAGGGAAGATGTTTTTGCCTCGAACCGAGGATGGGGTTTACATATAATTTCTCAAACTTGATGGTAAGCTAGTAAAATATCCCTAGGTTTAATATTAATTTTTAAAATATATCTAAGTTTCTTCAAAATTCTTAAAACCCTAGGATCCCATAATTCCATTTTTATAATACCCCCAAATTGTCATAATCCAATTCATAAAATACTGCCAAATTCCTATAATCATATTTTTAAAATACCTCTAAGGTTCAATCGAGGTGGGGAAAATTCATAGATTTCCCGTCCCCGACGGAGAATAGGTACCCCACCCCGGCACAAGGGATGGGGTGGGGAAAGAATATGATAGGGTAGGGATAGGGAGAGGATGCCCCACCTTGTTGCCATTCCTACTCACATCCCTACATCCCTAGTAGATTATCTTATCTCTCTCTCTCCACTTTCTTAATACATGTTTACTTTAAACTTCAAATATGAAATACGATAATTAAAGCATATCTAATGTACTACTAGAAAAAAATAATAAAAATTAATAACTGATTATAAAATCTTACTATAATCATAAATCATTAAGGTAAATTACAGATTATTACCCTATAATTTAGTGGTAGTGGAAATTACCCCCTAAAGTTTCATTTGCGACAAAGACCGCCCCTCGGTTAACTTGGGTCGTGTGACAGAAGAAGTTAGTTTAGCAGATATCCACTCAATAAACTTCTATTAAATGGAAATAGCAACAAAAAGAAAACAAGAAACTTTATGAAAAACATTGTAGCAAACACAAACAATCAAATAATATCAACTAAACAAGTAACAGATGGAAATTAATTACAAAAAAGATGCTAAAAATCATTGGAAAAAGAGTAGCTTGGGGATTTAAAAAAGTTTAAATACAATCACATGAGAATATTTTTTAACGTTAATTGATGAAATGCTAACAGAGGGGTCTTTGTCGGAATTTGAAAGTTTGGTGGGTCTCTATTAGGGGTGAGTAAATGAGTAGGCTCTACCCAAAACCAAATGGAACCTACTTTGAACCGGCCTTGAACCAACCCTACCTAATCTGTTATAGGGTAGGATTTGGTTCCAAATTCTTGGAATTGACCCCCACCCAGGTCGATTCCAAGATCTAGGGGTTTATCCTACCTGAACAGACCTTGGTTGGCATTATGAAACTGACCTTAGTGGAACTTGCCTGGGAACCAAACTTGCCTTGAAATAAGATTTGAATCCAAACTTGCCTTGAAATAACATAGATTCCAAGATCTATGTTATCTTAGTGATTAATGAAACAAATATTTTTTGCAAAGCAATTTTTAATTAAATAAATTGAGGATTCAGGTCCCCAATGGGAACAAGTTCCCCATTGGGAAAGGAGTTTCATTTTTCTCGCTGACAAGAATCAAGGCTATGGATGGATAGTTGCATAAAAATTGGAGATAAGGATGGGAAGGATAGTCCCTAACCTGAGCTCGGCCAATTACCGTTCCTAATTTATGCCATGTCAATATATTAAATTAATCAAAAAATTAGTTATGTAATAGTATTGGTAATAGTATATAATAGCAACACATGAAGTTAGTCAAAATAAAAAATTACTAAGATAAATTACGAAAAATCACATAAATACTAATAAATAATTCTAAAGCAAGTTAACAAATATTAGTATATATGTATGGGAAATATTTCATTACATGTTTTAAATTAGCCATCTAAGCTCAATATGGATAGAGTACAAGTACAAATATGTACAGTTCAAAAATGTGTATATTGTATTGTAAGCCTTGTATTTGCATTATGCATATTTGTATTTTGATGCGACCGGTTTTGGTCACATATCAATTTTTTTTTTCGTGATGTATCGATTTTTTGGCTAAGTATCTCGTCATTTGACCTGCTCTCAAGTGGCCTGTGACTCAGAGGATGGTGGATCTCCTTGGTGACGAAGTACCTGGTGGTGAGCTACTTGGTGGCGAACTCCCCGGTGGTGAGCTACTTGGGGGCGAGCTCCCTGGTGATGAGCTACTTGGGGGCGAGCTCCCTGGTGGTGAGCTACTTGGGGACGAGCTGCTGGGTGCGCTGCCTTGGTGGCGAGCCTTCTAGTGTAGTGTAACCCGACTGCCCTCTGCATGAGATGATCCGCTCCTCTTTGTAGACGGCAGGAGCCGAGGAACATGCGAGAACTAGATCAGAGGACCTAGGGAGCTCTCCTGGCGGGAGCCGAGGAACCTGCGAGAAATGAACCAGAGGACCCGAGGAGCTCTCCCGGCGGGAGCTGAGGAACCTGCGAGAACTGAATCAGAGGACCCGGGGAGCTCTTCTGGCGGGACCCGAGGAACCTGCGAGAACTGAATCAGAGGACCCGGGGAGCTCTTCCAGTGGGAGCCGGGGAACCTACGAGAACTGAATCAGAGGACCCGGGGAGCTTTCCCAGCGGGAACACTCCGATGCTTAAGTTAGCGCCCTGATAGTAGAGAGCTTGGAGATGATATTAGAGAAATGAGAGAGCTAGAGAGCTGGGGTTACCTCCATTTCCTCCCCTAGGGGGTCGGAGCTCTTATATAGCGGGTTCCTGACAGATCTGGCGTAACCACCTCTAATTCTCTGCCGCAGCCGTTATTGCCAGAGCTGAGCTAGTGGGCGCAGGTAACCATTGCAGAGTATGGCCCTACCAGATGAGAGACACCTTTCAGGGCTGGCAGGTACGGTGCCGTCAGGCGAGAGACGTGGGTGCAATCTTCTGGTACGACTGTCAGATGGAATGCTCTCCGTGAGGCTTCGAGCGATCTATCCTACTACGAGCTCCTTGGTGGCGAGCTCCGAGCTACCTGGTGGCGAGCTCCTTGGTGGCGAACTCCAAGCTACCTAGTGGCGAGCTCCTAGGTGGCGAGCTCCGAGCTACCTGGTGGCGAGCTCCTTGGTGGCGAGCTCCTTGTGAGGTGCCGAGCTGACTAGGTGCCGAGCTACCTGTGAGGTGTCGGGCTGACCGGGTGCCGAGCTATATATAAGGTGCCGAGCTGCCTGTGAGGTGCCGAGCTAACCAGGTGCTGAGCTACCTGTGAGGTGTCGAGCTGATCAGGTGCCGAGCTGCCTGTAGCTAGCTCGAGCTGTCTAGTTGACAAGAGGCTGTACTTGGTTGGCATGAGGTGTCAGGTGTCATAATTTCACTAGAGAGCCAAATCCGCCCTCATCATATTTGTATTTTTTCCAAACTGAGTCTTAATTTCAAATTATTTTTTGTATTATGCACCCACATTTAAATTAAATTAAAATGAATAAATTTTAATAAAACATAATAAAAATAATAAAAAATAAAACCCACTTAAATTCAATTTGGAATAAGAAAAATTAGCAAAAATTTATCTAACCAAAATAAAAATTAATAGAAAAATTAATGCAAGTTTATCGAACAAAACTAATCCAAAAATAATGTTTGGGCTGGAATCAGTTTGGCTTTGCCCAATTGAAAATGCCATAAGGGTCCTTCAACTTGGATTTTTTTAAGAAATGCAGGAGCCCCATTAGTTTATTTTAAAAACTTGGATTTTTTCCGAGTAAGATCAAATGATAAATCTTTCTAAGAATATGAGTTTTATTAAATATTAATAGTGTAGATTCCTTATAGCCCCATATATACGGGTATATCACTTAACTACCTAATTAAACTTTCATTTGTATCAGATTCCACCCTAAATTTCCACCAATGATATGAAGCCGTGTTTACAAGTGCAAAATGATGGAACTAACCTTGCTTAAGTTTGCACATCTACATGGAGTGATCATTTCTTCCCAAACTCAAAAACATTAGGGTTAACGATCGCTTCAAACCACTACTCTCCTCACCAACGTAGAACAATCCAAATATAGGGCACTGAAGTTAGACAAGGAGATAAGAAACTTGAACAGATGATCGATCTAGTTAGTGTGTTTTTGCTTCGTTGTTGTCACTACTTTGTTGTTACAAAGCTATTTTGTACTATCTTTTCCAAAA